GTCTTGATGTCTGATTTACATGGCCGGATTCTGTTATTGCTATTACTGTTATTACTTTCCAGGTTCCGTGCCTTAGCTGAGAAAGTTGAAACGTTGTACAATAACAAAGCAGCTCAAGAGATGGAATTGGAAGATGCTCCCGAGGAATTCAAAGGTAGTTATATCCAATCTTCATGTTTTACTAGGTCTTTTATGCTCATACAAAAATAAACACAACAGTGGAGGGGTGGGGTGGCAGAGCACGATTGTCTGTCACTTTCGACCTCTGAGGTGCCAAGTCGGAACGTCGTCGAAAAGGGCCGACCAATAAATCCTTCCTGACATCTGGTGGCTACAGCATCACACAGATGGATACTGTGATCTCTGCAGGGGTCCAGAGAAATGTCTCTATTTCCCCTAGAGGATGGTTATTTGATTGACTTGTTCAGTTTCAAGTGCGGCTGTTAGCTGATATATCTTGAGGAACCATTTTGATTTGAATAAGTACAATCCGCATGACAGCTGTCGTCACGTTTCTTTCAAATCAATCGGACAAATGCTTTCAACCTTTGAATTCATTATTGCCGTCCGCCCCAGTGATTGCTGCAGGCTTTAAGGACGCTTTACCTCTAGCACTATTCGCATACCGTATCTTAAAATATTCCAGACCCCGTTATGGATACACTGATGGAGGATCCAGTACGATTACCATCAGGTCATATCATGGATCGAAAGCATATCATGCGTCATTTGCTCAGTAGCCAAACGAATCCCTTCAATCGTGCCCCGCTCACCGAAGAAGAACTGGAACCTGGTGAGTAGTTACAGAGTTTTACAGTTAGAAACCGGGGGAGGTGCGATAGCCTCTCAGTGGTGAGCGATAAATCTTCTCTGTTCACTTTAACGTGACGCTTTTCCATCAAGAATCGATCGGTTGATGGCTTTGTGGAGGGATTTTGTTCTATATTTTCTTCATTTTCTTCTGTAGAGTTGCTAATAATCTGCATTTCACGCTCCTAAAAGCGGCTAATTACGTGAACTATCTGGAATAGCTTCTTTAATCGTTTTCCGATAAGTCCTGCTAATGCAGCTCCGCTAGTTTCCGCCCCACTGAAAGCGTTGCTCACGCCATAGCCCTTCTTTCGAACGGCGTATCATGTGCTTTCCGAGAACTCCCACGTTTTCGATGTTATCGTTTTTCGTCGCTGATAACTTTGAAGGAGCATTCAAAGGGCTTGTGCAGAAGTGGAACTTTTATAGCCTCAGCGTAAGAAGGGAGGTCGGCAGGTAGGAGGAGCGTGAGCCAGTTTCAAGTATAATAGTTATATTCAAATAACGGCACTCCCAGTTCAGCACAAGGAGTCCTTTAAATACTCCCTTCCCATCGGGGGTCGTTGCTATCTTCTTCCTCTTTTCTGTTTGGTACACTCCAGTATGAGTGTGTCACCCTATCAAAGCCGTTCTCTGCCTTCTTGTTGAAAGCGTCTGCGACAAAAAGTGGTAGAAGACTAGTAATACGAAGGATATGATACAGTATTGTCACTTGCCCGCTTCAACAACTGGTGTAGAACGAGTTTGGCACCGCGCCAAGCGCAGCCGCACTGACACGCCCAACCGTCCGCAGCGCACCTGAGTGTACAAGAATTCGGAGAATCAATAACCCTTAATAATAACCCTAGGGGGCATTTGAAGGCCATAGTACCGGAATTAGGACCGCAAGGGAAAAAGGACTTTTGCCTAATCCTAAAAAGGAGTTAAAAAAGTAAGCGGAAATATGAAAAAAATAAAAGGGTGGTATTTCCATTTGGATTACGTTGATCCAGGGGTTTGCACAAGGATTCCTTTAAACGTTCACCAAGGTTGCTGGCGCATAGTGTTTATGAAGATACAGTTTCCAGCTCAGGGAAGGATGTATAACGGTGCCAGCGCGACCTCCACACTTACCCCTATCTCCCTCTTCCCTCCAATTTTTCTTCGTAGGTACCACCCAGATCACATCCTGCATACCATTTCCCAAATTTCGCCGTAGCGCGGGGGGGCCGGGTGTGCACTCAAAATTATTCTGTTAGACAATTAGCATTTCAGCCACACCCGCTTATAATGCAGCAGAAGCACGCGTCAAGCGCGTGTGAACTATCGAAAAATCCCAGGCAGTCGGAGCTTACCCCAGCGTCGCAGTACATTCCCTTTTCCCAGGGACGTATAGGAACAGGCCATGGAAAACGCTATGATAAGAAAGCTTAGGAACTTAGGCTCGTGACTGTTGCAGTAGTAAACAGGACTGTGAAAAAGAATTTCGATCCCCTCGACGGGCAATCGCACGAATACTAGGAGGCGGTGTGGTTGTACCTAGCCTCATCGGTGGGCGGTGTTATGCACGACTGTCAACGCTTTGTGTGGAGTGATCAACGCCTTTCGCCAGTGACGGATTTGCAAAACGCCATCTCCAGCAAATCGCTGCGCACGGCCTTCAAGCCCGCATAGGGGTAAAGAAATCAGTCAGCAGCTGATGACACCCCACACCCAAGGTAAAACCTTACTGTAATCCCACTGACGTCCATTGGAGAGACTTAAAGAAGAGTGGGTGTAGACCTTCTCGAATAATAATTTCGAGGGAGTTCCATAGAAATGGGTCTATAATTGAATTTACCGGAATTTGTGGCTGGAAATCCTCGAAAGTTCAGGGATTTTTGAGAGCTGTCGCAACCATCTCTCAGTTTTTCTAATGTTTCTTACGAAAACTCTGACAGTTGGTGTTTTTGCAATACGAGTAAGAGTGTACGTCCGCATATTGCACCCATCGTAAGTGCATGTGTTTGCTCGCAGCTCATATCGATTGTGTTTTCAGTGGCCGAGTTGCGGCAGCGAATTCGAGACTGGGTGAAAGAGAAGCTCGGAAAATAGAGGTCATTTCCGTTGGCTGATCGAGGAGTATGTTTATGTGGTCTTTTCACCCTAATACTTGCCCTTGTGTTTCTCCTATACGGTTTGTATGAACCTTCGTTTTCTTTCGAACGTGTACAATTCGTGAACAAATGCTTCAATTTACTGTCTCTTTGTACAAAGTTATATACTTTGTTTCTTTTTCGAGTGTGGTCATGATTTTCATAAGGATCTTGGCTTAAGTTTTGTTCGATGTTTGGAGCGTTCTGATAATTTTATCCCAACGTCTCTGATCTTTGTCTCCCGACGGCTCTACCTTAATGCTGCGATAGATTCGCCTCAATTACCCTAGGATCATTGGGTCTGCTTTCCTTCTTTGCTCGTTTTGTTTTCGGAAATGTGAATATGTAAACAAAGGTATTGATAGCTGGGCTGATAATGTTAGTTTGGGTCGTTAGTCCATTTTGGGGCGGTGTTACTTGTCAACTTTCATGTGCATGAGAGCTATGTATCCCAAAGGTATAATGCTTTACGTGGCTCCATGAGGGATGTAGCGCAGGACATCTGCAAAGTTTGCGAACTAGCTAGTGTTCCTGGCTAGTTGACTCGATATAGTTCTTTTGGCGTCAAATCAATTAGGTCGAGGCAGTTCGCGTACTAGACAGATTTCGCGGCCTTTTCTCAGGAAACTGTCTTCTTTTTTTGTTTCTTTCTTCTACCAGTTCTGAGGGTCACTGTGAGATCACATTCATTGTTCGTGCTTAGGGTGAGGGGGAGGTCACCAGAAAAGCAAGGCAACCAGAACGGCGCTCATTTTACGCTCTTCCTTCACCAAGGGACAGATCCCTTGCTTCCCTGTGGCTTGGGCGGGCTCGGAGAGCTCTAACGACCAGAGACGCCGCGGCTGTAGAGTGCAATCGCTCCATTCCATCTCCCTCCCCTGGAAGAACGTGAACGCCCAAAATACAGCGGCTGGTTTTAGATTGATTCAAATAAATGAGTAGTTAATTATCTCAAAACTCCGAAATTCGAGTTAGCGGTCCGTCGGTACTCGCAACTTTTGCGATCATTATTGGTGTGGAACGTAGACTGCCATGCCCTAATTAC